TCCAAGGGGAAAACATTGATGTTACAGGAAGAACCAGCTGATTTTCCCCACCCATCTCCACACTGAGTCCTCTGTTGTTTGCTTGTGTTTCTCCTCAGAGTCCATCCAGCAGAGCTGTCGTCCTCCTCACAGCTCAGAGACACAAAGTCTCCTTTAAAGATCTGAGAGCTGCTGGGACTCACAGTCAGACGAGCTGTGAGGGTTAAAATGAAAAACAGAGGTTCTGTTACACTTTTATCTAATCAGGTTGACAATTATTCTTTCATTTCCCGTTTTCCATGTGAGCTCCATTTTACAAACATGAACACAATCAGGTCATATCAGTGAGCATTTATCAGGTTTAAACTGTGACAGAAGAAGGTTACTGACCTTGGTTTGTTGTGCAGCTCAGCAGTGAGATCAGAACTAAAGAGAAATGACACTCAGGTTGATTTGAGCTGAACATAAAGAACAACTCCTCACAAACAGCTGACAAACACACAAACTCATCTCTGATATATCTGCTCATTTTCAATTTGATGTCACAATCGAGGGGCGGCAGTGGTTAGCACTGGTGCCTCACAACAAGGTCTTGGATTTGAATCCATACACCTTCTGATGTCCTTTCGTGTGGAGTTTGCATGCTTGACCCACTTCATATCACCCGAACACCTGCAGTCAGGGCTGGACTGGGACAAAAAATCAGCCCGGGCATTTTGACTAGAGACCGGCCCACCAGGTATTATAGGAAAAACCATAAAGCCTTTGAATGAAAACAAACGCTGTTGTCACAGTGATGTATGCTGTCTTGTTGGTATATATGTATCGATCTAATAAACTTAAACCTACACCATCCTCCCTATTCTGGTATTCTAAACAGTACCCGAAAGTAGACTTTTGGGTCGAGTTAACCTCCTGAACTATCTACAACACATGGTGAAAACCTGAAATTAAGACAGAAGACTAGAGGTGAGACATGATCATTACTGATTACTGATGACAGATTTAGATATATTTTCATAAACCATTCATTTGCCACATCAATAAACAGCATGGCAGGGCAAAATATTTTTTCTAACATGGCAACCTTTAAAAAGTGAAAGGAGACAGAAAGAATAAAACTTAATTGACTTTTTGATGGCATTTTACACAAAGTACTGGTACAGTATCTAGAAAATGTGGGAAAATACTGGCATCATATACAGTACTTAGCTACTTCTGAAGAAATTATGATGGGACCCTAAAAAAATTACTATGTACAATAATGGATTTCTATACATTTTACATCAGATGAAAACGTTTGTTGTAACATTCAGATAATTATT